AAGAGAACAGTGAAATTATTTGCTTTTTTATTTCATTCTTGTGGTTATAGAACAGGCTGCGACCATTCTTGGTATGTTACAATCGCTGCATGTTAAACTAAAATAAGCCACTGAACCCTGCAGCAATGATAAACTGCAGGATTTGCTTAAGGGTCACTCCATCATCTGGGCCTAGAAATTGTTTCCCAAGATAAATACTGCCTTTGTGCATGAGCAGTCCACACTACCCCAGAAGATGAAGCGGCGTTTCAACTGCCTCTATACATCTTCTGCAGGTTTGTGTCTCAGATTGAACATGTGCTTTTTAAATAAAACTATCTTTTTGGATTATTTCGCGGATTTATTTAGATTTTTGGTTCCCCACGTTTCAAATGCTTTACTGCAATCATGGTCACGGGAGAGACTAAGGTTATAGACGTCTCAAACACATACTTGTTACAGGCAGTGCCTACCCACTATTTTACAGAAATGATTTCATAAATTCAATAAATGGCAATAAAGTACCTTACAATATTTCTTGACTTTTATTTCTTTAGTATTTAAAAAAAAATTATAATATTTATAATAATAAGAGCTAAAATTAAATAAACTATTAGAAAGAAAAATCAACAAATATTGTAAGATACTTTATTGCCATTTATTGAGTTTTATTTATTGCCATTTAGTGAATATGTGCTTGTTTAAACAGGGGTCCTTACCAATATATAATTAGAGACTAACTCTCAGTTCAATCGGATGCGTCTCTTAGTCCCTAATAGCCTATGTAATAATCTAATTACATTTAGCACACAAACGTTTTTCAAAAAAAAAATTATAGTTTTTTGGGATCCTATTTTAAAAACGAAGACACGTGTTATCTATAAAATAAATAAAATATAACAATATAATTTCCAATTATTACATATATGAGAGGGACAACTTTTTCTTTTACGTTAGTCAGTAAATAGTAATATTATAACAATTATTCTTACAGAAAAAACAAACGTTTTAGAAAAACAAAAACAAATCTATTCCACGGGAACCGTATATTTTTTCGGAAAAAATATAGTAATAGCTACATATATTATTGTAAAGTTTCATTAAAACCCGATTTTAGTATTTTATGCGTGAAATAGTAACAAACATTTATACATCTATACATCCAGACATCCATACATCCTGAAAAACCTTTGCATTTATAATATTAGTAGGATCATGTAAGTTTGAACCTAGTCCACTTTTATGAAAATTGAAATGATAATCCCAGAATCATCCGGGATTATCATATTATGGCTCGTACATTATAAAGAGACTAATACATATATAAATAAAATGTAATTTCAAAATAATATAATTTTAAATTCTAGTGACAACGCTTTACAAAATATAAAATTAAAATTACGTGGCTCGTTTAGTAAACATATGTTAATTTTAGATACAGGACACCTTTGTATCAAAATTTCGGTCTCGCGCCATGATGAAGCGGTACTTGGTTATATTGTGTATTATATTTATTAGTAAAATATATTTAAATATATACGACCTTTAAACTATAATGGGTGTAAGTCTTTGCGTGGGGTGTCATTAGAGAGGAAAAAAATATCGATAGATGGTGTCATATGTGTTTAAAATAATTAATTTTGAGTCCCTATTTCCGCTTGCCTGTACACTATGGTTTTACCTATTACTTTTTTAGACTAAATCAAGGATCAATGCATTGTTTTCAACCATTTTTAACGTCCCACTGCTGGGCACATGTCTTCAGAAAATTAGGTTCTCTCAGACATATAGGCTTCCTAATATTTTCTTTTACCATAAGGCAAGTGGTACCTATTCATGTTGAGTATAATTCACGCAGGATCAATATAGGTAACCTTAAATACGAACATTCATTGCACGGAAATAGAACCCACAACTACCATAGAAAGAAGTGCTATGAAAAGAAGGTTTCACTGATCCACAATATTCTATATTGTGCAATACCATAATACAACGATATTTAAATTTCGACATGAACGGATCTGGTCCATAAAATAAAACACGATAGTGAAGTAAAGTGAAAGATTTAGTTTTGAACTGAAATTTATCCGCAATGCAGTTCAGCCTCAAATAGCGGCAGAAAATATTCGTCTTATAAGTTTAAATAAACTTTCTTCCGACATCGGAGTGCCATTTCGTTTCAAATGTAGTAACACTTTTTATTATATCCTTATGTCTGGTTTTCAATTATTAAAATCACCTTTAATTTTATTAGCTTTACATATTTTTATTATTATTGTTTTTAATTCGCAACTCTGCTAACTCCGTCCCAGTAAACTTTTCAAAGCCTACCAAAAACGTAAGTAATTCAATTATATTTATTATTTTAATATTTTTTTTAATATAATTATACAGTTTTAAATAATCTAAAATTCATGTTTTCCGAATTCGTAATATTGGTTCTTGTTTTTAACGTCTTTAGCGTCCCCTGAAAAGTGCACTGAGACGGAGGTAGCCGACTTGCCAATTAAGACGACACGTTTGGCTCAGTTTGTACTGACCCTACTTGCTGTGCCAGCGGTCGCGGGTTCGAGTCCCGCTGGGGGCATTCATTTGTGTGCTGAGCACGAATGTTTGTACTCCAGTCATGGGTTATGGTTATAATTTATCAACTATCTGGTATCCATAACAAAAAAAAAAGTAACGTTATGCTTAGTATTGTGTTTAGATCAGAAATAAATTATAAAATGCAATACAAATTTCCTCTATGAGAGAATAAAACCCGCGATCTTTGATATGATAAGAATTATTAGTAAATAATTCTTACGTGATAGGTATGTACGTTGATAAAAGATGGCTTTAGCCTGTCAGTGATTGAATCCGTTGAGCCATTATAGTGTAAAGAACACCAAATGATGAATTATAGATATTTTTTTATTATTGTGTATATATAGAAAATTCTATTTTTTTTGTTAATCCATACTAATATTATAAATGTAAATGTAAAAGTTTGTGTGGATGGATAGATTAATGTTTGTTACTCAATCACGCCAGAACGGCTGAACGGATCTGAATGAAATTTGGCACAGAGATAGATTGTAGTCTGGAATAGCACATAGACTATTTATCCCAGTGCACAGTAACTAATCCAATGCCGCCGCACCGATTTCGAAAATATCTGAGTAGGTCTCATTCTAAATGAAAACCCCCGTTTAGTAATTTTTTATATTTTAGTGCCTGGAAGTCGGTTTTTTTAGGTTTTAAAATGGCTTTAATTTATACAAAGTTAAAGAAGACGCGGGGCCAGGATTTATGTTTACCTTAATTATTTGTTTTTTAATTATTAGTCATTAATTTATTCTTTGTTTTAAACAAACTTAGCACAATTATACGAGTACTCAAGCTGGGAAATAAACCACCCCTTTCTTTAGAGTAGACAGCGCCATTCTGATACTCTACTGGTTTCCATAGCCTTGATTATAATAAAATATATAGTATATTATTTATTTTGTCGAAAATAAATGTATAAGAAATCAGGAAATAAACCAGTTTTAAATTTTTACTATGCGATTTTAACAGTTGCCTGAATATCCTTGCAATACCATCTCATTTTATTACTGTAATTCTAACGCTGAAAGTGGGATATACTCATAGAGTTTGTTTTGTCTATTACATTTTAAATGTTTGTACTTCAGACAGAGTTAAAAAAAATTCAATTGAGTAAATAAAATGCAATCCAATGCAATCTGGACGCTTTTGAAATAATACGCGAATATATTATGACTTAAAGTATCTGTTAGGCATCTTGGGATGCACCGGTGCAAGGGTAAGATAGTAAATAATGCATCCGGCTCTTTAACGTCCCACTGATGGGCCAGGGCCACCTTTCAATACGAAGGGGATCAGGCCATAGTCCACCATGCTGACCAAATGTGGGTTGGCGAACTGCACATGTCTTTCGAAAATTTGCTAGATTCTCTCAGAGATGCAGCTTTCGTCTCAATGCTTTCCATAGCTGTAAGACAAGTGGTAATCACGTTGAAAATGACTCGCATATGAAAATATTAAAGGTGTAAAACTCACACCGTTGATTTGAACCGCTTCACTCGGTTTCCCAAACGAACGCATTACCACTGGGCTACCACTGCCTCTATCTATCTTATATAAACAAAATATTTCACAGGTATTTTAGTTTTCATTGGATCTGCTACAATTAGTTTTTGTGTTTGGTCTCCGGAATATTCTACAAATGACTACGACAAGCTTTTTAGGATCATGTATCTCTACGATCCACACGCATGCGGCTATAACTTGCGATCCACGAAATCGATAAGAAATCTGAAATTTAGTAACAATACACTAGGCCTCAATATATTGCCTATTGAATGGAAGCCTGCAGTTATGACAGTGTCGACAAGATTATCTAGTAAAACTAGAGGGTATGAACAAAATATTTTTATACACTTAATTCCAAAAGCTGTCTAGTCCAATCGAATAAGCCTTAAATAAAAATATATTGGTAAAAGTATATATTATAAAAACTTCAAATCCATACTAATATTATAAATGTGATAGTAGCTCTGTCTGTCTGTTTTTACTCCTAAACCGCTAAATCAATTTTGATTAATTTTGGTACAGTGATAGACGGGATTTTGGACAAGGATATAGGCTACTTAATGTTGTGAAAATAAAATTTAAATAGAGGTTAAAAGTTAGTATGGGGAACCAATTGAGGTATTTTTGACCAATCAAATAAGGGATACGAGTAATTTCAAGTGTTTTAAAGTACTTACCTTCTTTTTACCTAATTCTTCTTTTAATATATCTATTATTCTTATATCTACTATTCTTTTAATATATCTATTATTACCTAATTTTATATTTTCAGGTATATCGAACTAAGCGCCATCATCCACTTGTTTTGGTTACTTACAGCAATTGTTTTGAGAATTTCAAAAGTTATAAACAAATCACGTATTCTAAAGTTTGTAATTGCTATCACCTTTTACGTTAGTATTTTTGTGATTATCTTCGATTTGTCAATGGCTATAGTGTACATAGCTCATATTCAACAGAGCTTGACCAATGGAATGATTCTTACATATAGTGGGTGGAGTGTTGAAATGGAAATAAACAATTATTATGGTTTTGGTGGTTGGCTGCCAATAGTCGCATCCTTTTGCTGGATGAGAGGTGTTATCATTCTAGCTATAAATATATACTGTTGTCGAGTCCTTCAATTAACAAGACGTAGAATTAAAAAACGAGAAGTCAAAGAAAGGCTTGTGTTAGAGGAACAACCAGCAATCCCAGGACCCAATTACCAAGATCCGATCGACGACAAAGTATTATATTTCCGAGCGGGGGAGCACAAGCCGTCTGTTAAGAAATCGTATAGAGCTATGTTCTTTTATTGAATATTCGAATTATTATAGTGCTTTAAAAGCAAATTAATGCGAGAAAACTTTTTAAGAGTAAAGAAAGATACGTATAATAAGATGTTTTACATCGACAATGAATTCTACGCTCATCTACTTTTCTTCTTAATTCTTAGTTCAACAGTTTTGTTTTATTACTATTTTAACTGTACATGTGTAAAACGAACTCATGGTGTACTTAAAGCTGCACAAAATAATGAAACATAAGTAAGCTAGAAAATAACAAAAAATATAAAGCAAGCAAATAATAATTTACTTATGCGGAAGCAATAATTTAATTTGGAATAAAAACCCTTGATTAGACTAATTATTTTTACTTACTAATTATCTAAAAATAAACTGTAATATTTTAAGCAAAAAAATACTTTCCTGTGTTTTATTTATTCAGAATAAGTACACCAGCAAAGTTATCTGTCGCTGTCACTTAAATACGCCATCTTTAAACATTCATGCAAAATCTTATCAAGGCTCTAAATAAATGTTATTTCAAAAACTTCGTCAGTCTATTATAACTTCTAAGTAAAATGCGATACCCGCAATTAATCACAGATATTACACTGCGTAAAGCGAAATGAAAAAACGTTGTACTGTAAGAAATTCAATTTAAAGGAGAATGGCATTAAAAATTTTCATTATCACGTCATCGAGGGGACACCTATTAATTTCGGACTTTGCGTAATCAAAATTTGTATAGCTTAAGAGCTGGTAGTTGATTTTCTAAAGTATTTTATGTTACTCTGTTTGCTTTTTTTTAGCTTTTTCTTACATCATAGGTTTTGAATTTAAGCGTTGATATAGTTCATATAACTGACCTCTGAATTAGACATTTCGAGTTCGATTCCTGTATAGTTAAACGTGTGTCATAGGATATAGGGATATTATTAAAAATTAATATAATTAATAAATGGTGGATTTCAGACGCTCATTTGTGTGTCTTGTATTTTTTCTTATAATGTGTTTTTGACACCGCGTTAGTGTTACCGTTTACCTCTTTGTTTATTTCTTCAGGTGGCCGGCTATAGTCGGACACTAGCTTCAGCTTTATTATATTGTAATAACTAATAAACGAGAACCGATTTTTTTGCGTACATAATTTTTATAATCCCACGCTTAACATTATTAAAACTAAATTGTTTTTTCATTTAATTATCATTTCAAAACACTTTAATAAAAAGGTCTGAGCTCTCAGACTAGAGCCGAGGACCAATTTTATCAAATCGTTCATGACCCACTTGAAATTGTTGTTCACTAAATCTAAATTCTGCATTAACGAGGTTAAGACTTCGAAAATTGACTATTAATTGAATAGAAATGTTCTGAATTTCCAACAGTGATGAGCTCCCTTCGGGTATGGAGTATTGTAGTCATACTTTGTCAAAGTAAGTTAGATATTGTTTATTAACTATCAGAAATTGTATTAACGATTTTCTATACTACAGCTATTAATTCGTCTTAGTTCTCTAAATAGAAATATTTACTTTATTTATTTACTAGCGACTCACCCTCGCTTCGGGGTTCGTCCCTACTTACGTTTTAAAGTTTACTATCGATTTCTCAGAGATGAGATATTTTCTCGCCGTAAAAAGTATCCTATATGTTGATTCGGATAACCAGCTATCATTATACTAAATTTCATCAAAATCCCTCCAGTGATTTTTCCGTGATGCGGTAACAGACAAACAGACAGACGGACAAACATTCTAAGCACTATAGATTCGGCCTCTGTATCGATAATAATGTCTATTACAATAAGATTTTCCAAAAAATATTTTATGTACAGATTCGGTTTAGTTACAATTTTATTATATGTATAGATTAATATTTTTTGTTCACACGATATACAGACAAAAAGTACAGGTGTTATTAGTACGCATGTAAAGACGGTCTTATTGCTAAAAGCAATCTCTACAGACAAGTTTAGTGAGAGGATTTAATAAGACGGAAAAAGGTGCTATCAAAACATAAATAATTAAAAATATGTACCTATATACTTAATACATAATATAAATATAAAATACATAATATAAAATACACTAAATATGTATACAGTATACGCATATACATATTTAGTGTATTTTATAAGACTAATCAAAAAAATCGCCTAGTTGTCGATAACCATATTCGTTATTGAACAATTGAGGAAAAAGTTCTAAACAAGACACTATAGAATTTATCTATCTTATTTTTTACAAAAACCTGTTTCCAAAATGTTGATATTGTTAACACTAAATCTCGTCAAAAGCTACGGAATAAAAAAAAAGTCGATTGCAAAACAGGAGAGCAAAGTACTAAACTGTTTTGTCTTTGCCTATCTCTAGTAATGCCTAAACAATGCGCAAATCATTAGTAAAATATGAAACATGTTACGCAATTTTCTTATTGAAGTTATATTTCTTTTGGCACGTCTGGAAAGAATATGAGAGTAAATTTTTTTGTAATAAAACAGCCCTAAAGCGACATGATGAAGTTAGCTGAAAGCAACATGATGAAGTTAGCTGTTATCATGTATTCCTTTTACAAACAGATAGTTGTGACGTACTGGATGAAATCTTTAGCTATTTTTGTTCTGTTACGCCAAAGAAGTATAACTTCTTACATAATATAAGTACACAGACACGTTTTTATATTTATAACAGCGTTAATTAGTCTCATAACGACTTGGTGGACCCTCGACTGTCGCTTCACACCAAACTCCTCTGAACTCCAAGAAGTCACTCTTGTCAAACTTCTCTATCTTTACGACCCAGAGGCTTGCGGCAAATTATACTTCTATAACATTACATTAAAAGTCAACAATGAACGCCGATATCGTGTCATTTGGCCAGTTAAGAATAATGTAGCGTCTAGTTTTCGTAAGTAAGTTTTATTATAGCTCTAATATATTAAATTCACTTTTTACAATACAAATAATCTAATTTATATTATATATCTTCATAATAACCATCGATCAAAAAACTATTATATATACAATTAGCGACAAAAAATGTCCTCGCCGAATGAGCGCTCATTTGAACATTTGAGCGTGCTTTTATTTTATTTTTTTAATGAACTTTAAGCATTGCAATTAAGGTCAATTAACATTGTTGTATATTTATTTCAATTAGAATATTTACCTAAAAACACAATTAGTATATCTAGTACTTTTTTGATCGATGATAGTAACCTTGACATCTTTATATAATTTTATTATCTTTAAAGCCTTTTATAATTTATTAACGTTAATTTAACTTAGTTTGTTTTTGCTTTTTCTATGTTGGTACTTTACGGCGCCTGTTGTGGTTCCTTATAAACAAGGTAGCTCTCAGCATGCAAAAGTCATTATCTTAAAATTAATCATGTGTTATTGTTTGCTCAGTTAGGAACCCTGTATATTAAATAAATAAATATAATATTATGAAAGTTATGAGGGCGTGGAGTTCAATGTACGTTTTTACATTATTTTATTTTGGTATCCTAGTCGAAAATCTAAAAGCAAATAAAAACTTTTTAACAAAAAAATAAAAACCGACTTCAAACAAAAGCACTAAAAAGTAAAAAATAACTGATTGGTAGTTTTCATTTACTATACATACCTAATCAAATATTTTCGAAGTCGGTGTGCTTTGCTTTGTATGGGCTGGCAACGATTTCGAAAATATTTGATTAGGTATGTATTTAATAGGTAGGCTATAATTACTTAGCCAAAGCACACCGACTTCGAAAATATTTGATTAGGTATGTATAGTAAATGAAAACTACCAATCATAATACTTTCTTAGATTTACGCGAATGTTTGACATTATTAAATAAAACTATCTTTTCGGATTATTTCGCGGATTTATTTTGATTTTTGGTTCCCGACGTTTCGAATGCTTTACAGCATCCATGGTCACGGGAGAGACTGAGGTGTTACATGTCTTAAAGATATAGTTGTTACAGACAGCCTACCCACAATTAACAAAATGAAAATTGCACCAATTACATTACAATATTTTTAACTTTAAACATTTTTATAATTTTAATTATAATTGAATATGGAAAATTATTTATTTAATTTTTGCTATTATTTTTATAATTATTACAATTTTAAAAATATTAATTAGTAATCTATATTTAGTGTTGCCATTATTATATTTATAACCATAAATAAAAATATAAAAATATAGTATTAATTATTAAAGCCATATAATTGTTCTATGTGTAATTTAAAAAAGTTAAAATTAATTACGGATAATCATTTTAATTTAGTTTGCTATTATTTAAAAACAACTTACTAAGCAACACTATTAATATATACTTTTACAAATGAAAAATATTAATCTGATAAGCTGTCATTTTGATCTACACAGTATGAACTTACTACATCTGCCTGTCTGTTATGTTTATATTTACTATTTGATTTTATTATATTAATAACAGGATCCCATGACGATGGTAGTACCCAGCCATCTTCCCTATTGAAATTTGGATGTTTTTTAATTTCTATGGCTTCTCGAATCATTCTAGGGCGATATCGGTTTCTTTTCGCCAGGATTTGAGGTCTATCGAAACGAATATAATGGCTTGGGCGGTCCTGGCTATGTTTGCAGACAGCAGATGTTGTATTGCGACGGTGCTTCACATCAGCTATGTGTTCTTTGACCCGGGTTCTAATGGATCGCTTTGTTTGTCCAATGTAAGAGAGCCCACAATCACAATCAAGCTTGTAGACTCCTGCATCTTGTAGAGGGATGTGGCACTTGACAGGTGGTAAGAACTGACTAATTTTCTTTGGCGGCTTGAAGTAAGTTTTAATTGAAGCTCGCTTTAGAATGTAGCCAATCTTGTCAGTGACTCCTTTCATGTATGGCAAGACTGCAGGGACGCGCTCGACTGTGGCTGGTTTCACTCGGTCACTGTGACGCAGGCGCGGCACTTGCAGCTTGTTGTCACGCAGAACTTGCTTGACATGTTGCAGTTCTCCGGCCAGGTGTTGCTCGTCACAGATCCCGCGCGCT